ACTGAATATGTAAAGGATCCATGAACTATGCCAAAAGACTGCATTATCTTTTTTTTTGCAAAAAGAAATCTAATTTGTAGGTAATTACCGTTTTGTCGCTGTATATATTAATATCTATGAAAAAAAAATTTTTTTTTCGATACCGTCATCGGTCAATGCAATAACTTAATAACGTACTGAAATCAGAATCCGGACATCATGTCGTGTAACTGTATCGGCACTGGAATCAATCAGAATACGACCGCAAGCGCATATCGGGTAACACTCCACGCGCCGTCTACCACGAAACGTGCGAATATCTAGTATCATCGAAATGTTGAAACCACAAACTGTTTGGTATATAGTGTCGGCTTAGACTGTCCGGGGCACCTGCATGGTCGGGGTAGCCACGGGGCGGCCAAGGGGTGCTCAAAAAAACAGAAGAGGTTCTAGACTTCTAGACAACGCATATACATATAACTTTTTACAGAGCAATCTCATTTGGTTATTCTTTTATTATTGAATAGGCATTTAAAGATAATCACATTAAATATTGTATCACAAAGAATATCTTGTAAAATTCAATCTTTTTGTGAGATATAACACATATAGTGATTAGTTTTATTTATTTATGTCGTCAACAGAAGCTTTGGACGCCTTTTTACGAATATTTCGAAGACTATTAAAGATGCAAATTCTAATAATTTTTTATAGTGACCCTTAAAATACTTTACATGAATAAAGAAAATATTACACAAATTACAATAAAAAAACGTTAATCTCAATATCATGCATTACATCACACTTTTATATCAGTCTGTTGTTTGTAACAATTATAAATAAGTATATAATAATAAATCTCTATAATGTCCAAAAAAACTAGATAAAATTGCAAGATGAATAATAATGAAATTCATTCCTCCCCATTATTCATGGTGGTTAATGTCAAGTAAAAGCTATAAACTAATTACGTTGGTAAGCACCTCTAAAAATATATTATAATTTTTATAAAATGAATGTTTTGGTGAACTTAAAATTAAAATAGCCATTTTTTATTTCCTTTGGTGTTTCTTATGTATGCTTTGGCACCCCTGACGCTTGGGCCTGCCCGGTATTCTAGGCACAGGAGTAACGTGCTCTAGGCCCGCGTCGCCCACACCTTAATACTTACATACCTGCAGATCGTACTGCTCGTATGTAAGTAGTGACTGATTTTTATTTTATTAAAATTGCAGTGATCATTTTGTGAAATAATATAACATTATATGTGCAACTACCATTGTTTTTGTTATTTTGTATTTTTTTACATGAACGTACATATTATAAGCATTTTCTATACATTTTTATTAAGGTTTAAAAAACGATTACAAGTTTATAATCTCTCAAGGTCATATAATATTTGTATCGATAATTAATAAGTGTCAAATTATATCCGATAAGCAACTGAGTCATATTACTAACAAAAAAATGGTAATGTCAATCACTGTCAGAATCGACAAGGGGCTTATTTGATATTAAATATTGAAAGATAATAAGTAAGAGTTAATTGATACCTAACATATAGACATAAGCTGTACAAATATTTATTATATTATTATTGACAAACAAACACACGTATTTTTAACAGTGTTGGATCTGCTGTTTTACGGGGGCCAGTAATAGTGGGCTGATAGGTGACAGGTTTGATTCCCAGTCGGGTCAATGTAGACAATGAAGTTTTCTATAGTCTCGGGACTGAGTGTTTTGGTACCTTCTTTGTTTCAGATACCCTTAAGCGCTTTAGCTATTTAATTTGGAAACTTAACAATTTAAGTGATCTTGTCCATCATCTCAATTTCATTTGCTTCAAAAGATGTGTTAAGCTATTGTTAGTCATCAATACCCACCAAGTAGCATTGGGCACTCTTAAGCGGGTCCCCACGGGTCCTACGAGTATTTGATTCCATCTATCAAAAAGGTTTACTCCAAAGAGAGTAATCAAATCTAATGTAAATTAAATAATCAAACAGGATTTATTGTTAATATTGCAATAGATTTTTTAAAATAGATTTCACGATTTTAATAATCTTACCTATTTGGTACATAAGCAGAAATTGCTCTGTCATCTATATATCTATATATATTCACTTCGTATCTCTTGGGGTGTAATCAGGTAGGATAGAGTGCTACGAGGTACCATAAGGATATTACTTCTTTCGCCTACTCCGATTTCATTAGCCATTTCATAGATATATTGTCATGTTGGTGGAACTCGATGACGCATTGGTTAATGCGCTCGGGATACAATATGTTTTTAAGCAACTTTTGCTATGGCCGGTCATAGGATGGGTGACCAAAAACTTATTATCTCGAGCTCCTCCGTGCATCAGAAGGCATGTTAAGCCTTTAATACCCACCGATCCACACTGGACACGCATTTGGGTCATGGCCCTTTGTCCCCATTCGATTTCATTCGATTCCATCCGTCCATAGGGAAGGCCTGAGCCCCAGCAGTGGGTACATTAATAGGCTAGCTGCGATGATGCTGATGCTTGTCATGCTCACCGGTTTTTACGGCTTCTGAATATAGTTAATCGCTTCCCGGTGACAAGTTTCTTAGAGTTTCAAACTCATAAACTCAAAGAGATGCAGCAGACAAGCAAATTCCAAACCTTAACACGTACACTGTTATTAATTACATTGTTTAATTTCAGAGTAAATTTATGCTAAAGTTTCAATTTTACTATTAGTACAGATTTATATTATACAGAATATGCAAACCTTCTAGGAGCAAATATTACTCCATAGAAGCTCATAATAGGTTAACCTTTGTTTAATTATATGAATTTTGACTAATACTAAGTACAGTTTTAGCGTAAATTTACTCCATCACTAAACCTTGTTTATTAATAACACTGGTAGTGTTTAAATTCTCTTTGCTCCTTAAGCGCAAGGCAAGTTATAAGCCATGATCGCAATCTTCTTTATGGTATATTTAAAAAAAAGCAAAGAGGTTCCCAAAACTTCTTTTATCTAATACCTTTTTATTTATTACTGAGCGTTATTGTAGTGTTAAAGCACATCTTGACATTAAAATTGGCTCGGTTTACACCGGAAGACTATAGGACAATGAAATAAATTTTCTGATGAAAATGTAGAGTCATTCGTCTTGAGAATATCAAGATAGCTATTACTTTTATGGCGCCTTTTCTATGTTTAGTGAAGTGAAATGTGTCCATAGTTTAATAAGTATCAGCGCTCAACAAAATAAATGTTGACATAATCGAAATGCCTCATCCGGCTACATGACTGCGCGGAATTTGCACTGCGCGAGCGCAGGTGAAACGCACGTCGAAAGTAAAATCATAGTGATTAGTGTCCGACTGCCCGCGGCTTGCCGCCCGAGATAACCACTCGTCTATGGATTGAAGGCCCTTCATCAATAATCGTATAAATGAAAGCTTTTAGTTCCGATACCATTTCTATTTAAAGTCTTCTTCAAAATATATACCGATCTAATTTTAATTAACTTTCCGCGAAAGTGACACTACTTTATAACAATTATATTTTATATATAAAGTAGTCAAATATTAACATTCAGAATAATATGGACATCTTAAATGTTAAAATAACTCCCTCCACAAATAGGTTGTTCATAATATAACAAAATTCGCACTTTTTCTTTTTAATATTAATTGAAGTATTAGATACATAATTATATTATGATTTTAAAGCATTTAAAAAGTTATTTATGTTTCATTTCCTAAGGATTGATTTGAACAATACAACTGTCAGGTTAATTAATATACTATGACATGCTTATTTTATTTTTGAATCATCTGTTTTCTCGTGAAAATTGTTTTGCCTCCCGTGTATCTCTGCTGTAGGTGAAAACATTGTTACGTTATAAAAAAACAAACCATCAAATATTATCTCTCTATAGAATTAGTATAGATAACAAAATAAAATTCTACTGCCATATGCGAATGTCTCATCCCAAGGCCATAGTTGAAAAAACTTATTAGGATTCACAAGTCACTGTCTGTATGCATAGGCATTTCAAGTAGGTATAAAAAATCTACCGCACTTATAATTCCGCTACTTCTTTAACTTGCCAAAATATATGATCAAAAGCAATTCTTTCTTTTTTAGTTTCTAACACATCTTTAAACATAATAAAAATTTAGTCACAACCTTTGTAAAAGAAAAGGTTATTGAATCATTATACATAATTATTTAAATGCTTCAATCATTTAGGTATATCAATTTTAATCAAAGATTAAGGATCTCTAAGTCCACATTAAAAGAGTCCAAATGCTTTCTAATAAAAAAAAGGAACTATGACAATCTACAGCTAATTATAGTTCGAGGAAAATTCCGTGAAAACATACATACCCGTCGAACATAGAGGCTACTCCTTTTCGATTTTTAAGTCTGTTAACAATATCCTTGGTAGTTACGCAAATAGTATTATAATCTCACCCATTGATTTTCAACCCTGTTCATTCTGATTCTGCGAGAACCGAAGGCCTACTCCAAAACACTACACGACTCCTTAAAATGTATTTTATCGAGAAATACGAGATTTTCTCGATAATGTATGATGAATCGAGAGTAAGGCCTGGTATTGCCTCTGATTCATAGGTACTTGGATTTGTTTTGAGAAAATTATAAAAAAATCTCGAAATTCCCGAAATTTCGTTTCTTGATAAACAGAATAAGCATTCTAGATTTTATCGGAGTAGTGAAATACCACGAAAGTTTAGCGGTAGGTATCTATGTATAATGCCGAGCCGAGTGGTTCGCTGATTTCAAGGCGTTGCCATCTCTGAGGTTTGAACTTTTCTACATTGTCTCGGATCTGGTTGTTGTGGTCTTTGGTATCTTCATTGTGTCAGATACTCCATAATACGATGGCTTTAGCTACTCATCTTGCAATCTGAGCAATGTATATGACGTTGTTTTGATTAACCTATTTATTTATATGTTTTAGGAGTAGAACAACCGCTAATGTTGGTCGGGCGGGCGCCGATGACGCGAGGATGCGTGAGGAGGAGCTGGAGGTGGCGCTGAAAGTCGTGATAGTGGGTGACGGAGGCGTTGGCAAATCCAGCATGATACAAAGATACTGCCGAGGCACCTTCACGCGGGACTACAAGAAAACCATAGGCGTTGACTTCTTAGAGAGGCAAATAGAGTAAGTACGGACAATTTTCAAGTCTCATCTTCTTCTTTAGCGTGTACTCGCCTCTCCAATCTCTATCCATGTAGCTCTATTTCTTGCTTCCTTCTTCCAAAATGATTGCGCAGCCACTTTTAAATCGTTGGACTATCGGGCAGATGGTCTAGCAACATTCTCTTCATTTTAAACTGAGTTAACTCCAACGTTTGTCCTGCGTCCGACATACGTGGCTTTTTAATTTCTCGAGTCTGTACCCAGATCGACGACTTTGGTGCATTTTCTGATGAGCTCGATCCGGACTCACTTTTATTTCGCTGTCACCTTAAGCTCATGCATTATTCCATCATACCCAAGAGTCTTATTGGACCAAGAAATACAGAAGGAGGGAGTATGGCGGGCACCATCGAGTAGCTCTTAAATAATGACGATGAGACACTTTTTAGGGTTCCGTACCCAAAGTGTTAAGACGAGAGACCCCACTATCCATCCGTCTGTATGGCACCAGGCTGTGACTCATGAACCGTGATAGCTAGACAGTTAAAATTTTCACAGATGATGTGAACTATAGACAGAAAAAATAAATATCTAAGAAGGGCTTCTCATATAACAAACGTGATTTATTGCGTTTTTATAGATATATGGTACAGAACCCTTCGTGCACGGGTTCCGACTCGAACTTGGTTAGTATTTTAACCTAACCAATAAGGGGATACAACTCATACTCATATTCACATACTCACTTAAGTTTCTGCTACGGTTAATATGCTGGTGATGGATGGTTTATACTGTTACTAAAGGATTGACGGAGAAGAAGTCCGGCTGATGCTATGGGACACAGCAGGACAAGAAGAGTTTGATGCCATCACAAAGGCTTACTACCGCGGTGCACACGCGTGCGTGCTGGCGTTCTCCACAACAGACAGAGACTCGTTTCTAGCACTACATTCTTGGAAGTTGAAGGTAAGCTATAATTATATGAGGTGCGACAATAATCATAAGATCCTACCTGCGGCAATAAAAGCTCGCGTTGAAATATATTTGAAATTTCGTGCTAAAATACTTCTGTCCCTGTTTTAACTTTACTGTTTTTTAGTGACACAGCGTCACTAAAAAACATGTTTAGTAAAATGAAACGAAATATAAATGGTGTGTTTTATGGCTAGAGAGCTAGGCGAACGTAAGATCGCACCTCAATGTTGAAGATTTAGAATTTAATTATATTTTGCCTATATAAAAACTAGTTGAGAAAATCTTCTTTGATTGTTTTGAGTCATATCTTTTTCAATATTTCAGGTAGAAAATGAATGTGGAGAGATCCCTACAATAATAGTTCAAAATAAAATAGATCTGATGGATCAATGCGTCGTTGGACCGTAAGTAAAGACTTTTTTATATTCAATATTTTATGTATTAAGATGAAAGTGCCTACTTAAAATCCATCAGAACACTAAAGCTCAGACACCATAGTCGCAAGCTGGGGCTCTGGGAATTTCTCCACAATACTTACTGCAACTTTATAATACAATTCGCGACATATTTACATCATCCTTTGTATCATTGACTTGCCTCATTTTGTCTCACTTTCTTCTTGTCATTTTGAGCAGGCTTAATTTATCAAAGCATTTTTTTAAAACCCTCTATACACATTACATTTTCCATTGTGGAAAATATCATGGCCACAATGTTGGTTAATATGGCGCTTGCCCACCGTCAACCCTGACTAGAAAATGTATTAAATGAACATAATGTTTAATAGGAAGAAATACAACTGACTATTGAAATAAATAAGGTTATAGTTAAAAAGCATTTGAAATTGAAGGCCGATGTGTAGAGCGGTCGTAAGACAAATGTTAGTCACGATGTTAAATTGTTATAGTGACGAAGCTGAACTGGTTGCGCGCGCGTTGGGTTGCCGTCTGATGCGTGCGTCGGTGAAGGAGGATGTGAATGTTGGCGCGGTGTTCCGTGCGCTAGCGGCGCGCTGCCTCGCCGACATGAGGCGGGAGGACGACGCCGATAATGGATTACCACCCTGCGTGGCACCAGTCATAGGTATGTATATATTTCAAATTTAAAAACAAACTACAGTCAACATCGTCTTTCTAAGCCGTTAAAGTTTAAACAGTATCTTAACGGTCCTAGTATCATCAGTGTAATGTTTTCTTCATAAAGCAATAGTGACAGATCTTTATTTTGTGGTCTAGTAACAGGAACAGTAGTCATAAAGTGCTATTAATTCGCCATTAGCACAATAAGATCTTTGCTCTGTTCCCAACTGATTCCTATATTCTCTGTCAGCTGTCATGGTTCATCATTCTCTTTTCTTGAATCACATTACTCAAACAGTTTATTTATCTTTTCTATCTCCTTAACTTTGAGGGTGATGGACACTTTCGGCTCCATCACCCTCTTGGGTCAGTTATGGGGACTCTCATTTGCTACACTTACCCAAGACTCTTGATTTAATCGGTCATGAAAGTTGACAGTCTTACTCCAACCAACCCAGGACTGCCCAAAAGCGCAGAGGCTTTTTGGTATTCACAAACCTCGCGAAATATTGAGTATTTGCAAAGTAAGTGTACCCAGTGTGCTGGTAGGCTCTCGCATTCCAAGATTGCATGAGCAATAGTTCATCACTCTCTTATTACTTAATATTAATTTGATCCTCAGCTATAATGTTACAAAGAAATAAAGTTTCTAACTTTGTTGGTTTGTTTGTAGAGGATAAACTTCAGAAATCTTATCCGATCATGAAAATTATTTCACCCACGAGAAGCTAATATCATACGAGTGCTATAGGCTATAATTTACGGGTAAAGTTGCGGGTAACAGCTAGCAGTTAATAAAATAAACAAAAACTTGTTTAAATATAAACTATCCTTTTATTTTAGGTACATTTACGAATCATAACAGCAACGGCACGATTTTACTCCGGCCCGCTAAACACCGACCAGGCAAGAAGAAAAACGTCCTCAAGAACGCCTGCAGGATACTGTGATCCGTTTACGTTATAATAAGCATCTACAAACATTATAAACACCATGCTTATCTTAAAATGTGCCAGATACTATCATGAAAATATGCGAAGCACTTTCCGTGATATTCAGCACCATATTATACTATTGTTTCATCCCAAATCTGAGCTCTACAAACGGCGACTTTCCACACTCCTAATTTATAGAAAAAGTTAAAACCTATCGTGAAAATTTTCATACAGAATAATATTTAAGACATACTCGTACTAACGTCTAGATTAGATTTGATTATTAAAAATTAAGCATGTAAATATTAGGTTGTAGTCATGTATAAAAAATCCAATGTGCAATGGTCATGGCAAGACCCAATATAAGGAAGGCAAACTTGGCAATTAATTACCCAGAAAAACAAAAACAGGGGGTAGCAAAATTAAGTGAAAATCGAAAAATCTCGGCTGCATCTGGCAGCACCTTATGCTCTTCTGTTTCTCAAAAGCTTCATATGCTAGACCGAAAAAGATGGCGGGCGAATACCGCGCCACGGAATTCTTAAGGCGATTTATAACATGCTATGTTTCTCGCTCTGGCAAATAAGATTCTGAACGAAAGAAAAGGATAGGGCATAGGAATAACGGTACAGTGATACTTGATGTATCTCCACCACAAATAGGGTTTACGATTCTACTAACCATAATAAGTGTCGCTCACGGGCCACATTCAGTAATAATACGCTAACATATGAAGACTACTAAATATCCGAAATATGATAACAAAGAGTAGTCTTTTTGGCCAGTTGGGACTCCAAAGCGTGATTATTAAAGGCGTTACTTTAACATGTATTCAGAATATTGGATTAAGGAAAACTAATAGGTACAGTTGATTGCATTAATGTGTCAGAGTTCACTTCCTCGTAACTTATAAAATTGTAAACTTAAATTCGCCAAAACCGAAGGTCATCTGCCCTATATACATAGTAGCCGTCGTCTGTAGCCATAGGACAAGTGTAGTCATAGGTCGGCAAGTGTAATCGATGGCCCGTTTTATTCAACCCATTCATTGGACTTTAGTGGCACCACGCAATTTAAAAAATTTAGTTCTTATATGTACTTCATGTAATATAAGTCCTTTCCAATCCAATGTAATAGCATGAATTGTAACAATGAAACTATGTAAATATGGAGATATATTATTGTATTTTTATTAACAATTAAAATAAATTATTTTTTCATACGGCAGACTTCGTGTTCACTTTTTTATTAATTCACCTCCATTGAAAGTAATCGAAGTATCTATAGCGATATTGTACCTGAAAGACCTCAAACTAGATGTCGCTATGGTACGTTCTTGATTTATCTATGACAACCTTTCTGGTTTTCTTTCAAGTTAAAAAGTAAATTAGTTTTCAAAACATAATAAACAACTCATATTCTATTTGTACTGATATCATAGTTTCGAACTTTTGAAATTTCAGTTTTTTAATATGTTAGTTAAAAGGAACGGAAATGACTGTCTTTAGCCCATTCGTTTCCTGTAAAAATCAACTTTTGCTAGAGTCGCCATCTAGAGGAGGTGCTTTTTTAGTGCTTTCCTTTTTTAAATACTTCCTCATTAGACTAGTTCGTTATACATTATTTGTAAGTATAAGTTAGTACCTATAACAAATAGATAAAACGTTTGCAGCATCAGATATAAAATTGTGTATCGCTGCGAGTTCGCTCCTTCTGAACAAGGGCTAATCAGATAGATAGCTCTATGGCGAATTCATCAATTCGAAAGTGATTTGATCTAGACTTTTACTCTACAATAATATCCTTTTTTGACCGCCTTCAAAATAGAAAAGAAGGAGGTTATGTGTTCGACGGCGATGTATGTTTTTATGTATATTCACTGATATTATTGATGTTACGAGTATATAATAGATAAGGTAGGTCTATAAAGTACGAAATAAAAATTTAGAAAAAAATAGAACCGATGTCAAACTTTTCAAAAGAAATAAAGAATACTTTACTCAAAAGCGACTTATTCAAGAAAATGCTATTGAAGTTGGGCGCCTTTTATTAAATAACCTACAGATAACCAATGCTCATAAACTGAACAGTTAACGTTAACCTGTACGGAACAACAAAAGATTTCAAACCACAAGAGGTTGTCCTCAAGGCGGCATCCTATCGCCACTGTTATGGTCCTTAGTGGTTGATCAATTGGTAGTACAAGCCTCTGAAAATGGCCTAGATATACAAGGATACGCGGATGACGCGGTAGCTTGCGTCATTGGTCCATGTTAATGCACTGTATCATCTATAATACAGAGATCTCTGAACATCATCGACAAATGGTGCACAGTGAATAACCTATCGTCCAAGAACAACAATAGTGCCTTTTACCAGGAAGCGAAAGTTGGAAAACCTTAAAACGCTTATCTTAAAAGGGACCGCTATATCGTACTCCACGGAAGTCAAATACCTGGGCGTCACATTCGACCAAAACTCATTTAGACGCGCCATATAAACAACATAACCCAAAAAGCTTAAACAGCCCTAGGTATATGCTGTCGAGTAACTGGGGCAAAATGGGAACTAAATCCCAAAATAGCCCTATGGATGTACACCGCCATTGTAAGGCCAACGGTGACATATGCCAGCGTTGTATGGTGGAAGAAAGCCACTCAAGCTACAGTAATTAACAATCTGAATAGCTTCCAAAGAGCAGCATGCCTCATGGCAACCGGTGCCACATCTACCAACCTAGGAGCCGCTCTTAATGCCCTGCTCAACTTACCGCCTCTGCATTTATTTATAACGAAAGAGGCGAAAGCTAGCATCTACACAGTAGGCATTACTGGTCAAAAGAACTTGCATTCTCAAGCACTGAGATCTCTATATCAAACAGTCCTTGAGTCATGACGTCTCTGGTCATTGCTAGAGATACACATCTCTAGCAATGACCACAGACGTCATGACTCCGCTTTGTTACTTTGAAAGAAATTAGTCATTGGAGATACCGAGCAGAGAGGAACTACAGAAATCAGACCATTAATATATACTCTGATAATAAAGGAGCACTCAATGCCATACATTTGAGGGTGATAAGTTGGAAACTGGAAAAGGGCTGTATTGAAAGATTGAATGAACTGGGGCAAAAGAATAAGATTATCCTTAAATGGGTACCAAGGCACTCGGGCATCATCGGCAATGAAAAAGCGGATGAATTAGCAAGGGCTGGACCACGGGGTCTACAAATAGACCTTTTGTGGTATCCCAAAAAACCATGTGACGCAAATTCTAAATAATGACCTGCAAAGGGATTCAAAAAAATACTGGCAAAAACAGCCGGGTTTATGTCACGTCACGTCAAATCACAATCAAATCACTAATTGAAGGTCATTTACAAAAACTAGCTGAAGAGCTCTTGAAGCTAAACAGAGCAAATATAAGTACGAAATTTATCTTGACACTGCAAACTAAACAGACACCTATTTAACATGAAACTAAGTGACACTGACATTTGAAGATATTGCAAACAGGAACGTGAAACACCAAAACATCTCCTGTGTGAATGTGGACCACTGATCCACAAACGGAGCATAGGACAACATATATCATATAATCAGCCCAGAAGATATAAAATCTCTAAAAGTCAGGAATATTATAGGCTTTTTGAAGTCTACCGGGCTAAAGGAGTTACTATAGCTCTGGCGGCGAGTCACAATAGATCTTCAAGGCCGCAATGACTACAGTTCCTCAGGGAACTGCATAGCCCCTTATATAACAAATATTTATATTAATAACCACTCTTTTTAAAACTTTGAAAACGATTCTTTTTTAAGTTTTTGTGAGTTATATTGACAACCATTAGGCATGGCAGAAAGCACAAATTTCAGCTTAAAATAAAATACAAAATAAAGGTACAGTTATATATTTGTTCATTATTCAAAGATGACAATATTATAACATTTTTATGTATTTAGTTTGATGCCGTTATCTATACTTAATAATGTACAGTTCAGGAAGTTTCCGGTATTCCATTTTGCACACAAAAATCACTTGAACAGTTCTAGCGAAATACTTTGTACTTCTACTAAACTGTGCTGATCGAATGCAAACGATAATTGCCTTTAGTGATATATCGTTAACTTCCTCTATTGTACAACTACATTATTACATTACAATTAACAAAAACTAAAAACTTAACTTGGAATACATTTAAGTTGACAAAATAATGAAAGAGCAGGAATAACGCAAACTTATTTTTTAAAAAATGCCTTGCACGTCGAACTGCAAGCGACAATTACATTATTATCACAAGCCTACTATATAAGTAATAACATGTATTGTGATGTTGATTCAACAATCTACTTACCGATGTAAGTACCTAGCACATTTAAAAATTATTTAAAATTTTAATAAAATCACGCAATATAAAATAGTTAGCCATCATGGCTACAGGAGTTTAGACACTGCTAGCCGACAGAAAGCGAATGATTGAGAATTCGAACATTAGATGGAACAAAACATTATTTGCTTGCTTTTTCTAATGCAACCAGCGGATTTTTTTAAATATAAAAGAGGTAGGCCTCTGATTTAATATATTATGGAAGTAAACAATCGTTCTCCTAGAATTTATACGACATGTAAATGCATAAAAATATAGACAGTTGTGCAAAATAAAGCACCTTCTTTTATTATATCCACACTGACATTATACCCTAAAGACATTTTGCCTTCATTACCTGTCCAACACTTCATTTTTTTATATAAGTCCTTATAAGCTTTTATAAAAAGATATGTCAAAGGGATAACGGAAATCTGTAGACGCAAGATTTTATTAACATAAAAATAGCAAATGTATCTAACAAAACTTTCTTAAGTATCATTTTTCGAAGATATAAGCTATCAAAATTTTACTTGTAGTGCTACAATATAACTTTGATAAAACCTATCTCATTCCCTATTCCATAACATACCAAAATAAAGTCAAGTGTATACAATACATACAATCAAAATTGTAATAAAACCAGTTCCGCTACAAGATGTTATTCTGTTAAAAATAAAACTTTAGAACAAACAAAACTTCATGTGGAATGAGGCATGCCAAAGTCACACAAACTATCCTAATCACGAAAGAAACAAACGATGAAAATATTATTGTATTACTAATATTTTATAGTAGGGGAGCCGAAGCGGGGATTTCGGGATTTACTAAAGCGCGGCAGATTAATATACAGGGGGATACCTTGTACCCAGTTAAGTACCTGGACCAAATATGAGCACTATAAAAATGGCCGCCCGGCAAGGACGAAGGATCAGATTAGTAAAAAAAAATTGATCATCTGAAAATCTCGAGCGCGTCAGATTAAGGTAAGGTGAGCTAGTTACATGCTAAAAGGTGTACATACCTCTAATCTGACAATTTAAGAGTGACGTAAAGAAGGGGGAAGGCTACAAAGTTGTAAAAAAAGTGGCTAATTTTTTTTTTATTTTGAAGAGAATCATTCAAGGATTACGAAAAATATATAATCTGACGATTGTCACAAGCCGAAGTAATAAAAATTCATCGATAAGATTTAATGCGTTTAAGCTACGTGATACCAATATTTCCTTCTCCGCATCACTATTATTCTCTCTTTTTCTGTCTATTACTCTCTCATTCCATCCCCACTCTGGTTTCGGTTGCCACGACGCCATGACAGCTGATGACACAGACTCGTTCGAAGCGTGATATTGTTTACATCGTATTTCCTACGTTTTTGCTTATTTTGTTATTGTAATGTAAATTTTGTGAATTAAACTTTTTACATATTTATTAAGAGAAGAAGAAGAAGATGATTCTAGCGATGAAGATGATAATTAATAAAAAAAAAAACTGTAAAAATTAAATTTTGATATAATCATTTTCTTATAAATATAAGTATTTTACATAAAAAAACATACACTTTTTTATTTGCATGCTAACTCCGGTGCTTTTCTATTTAATTAAGCTCAATGATTTGAAAAAATAAAAAATAATTTTTTTTTAGTGTCTGTTTAAGTAAATCCCTTCAGATAATCGTCAGATTATGAGATATCACGTCTGGGGCATAAAGATGAACCATATATATCTTAATCTGACGCGCTTGAGTATTTCAACATAGCGGTTTTTTTGCACATTCTAATAATGGTCACGCGTTTGCGTCACATCCAAATCGTCAGATTATTATATGAGAGCTTTTTTTTAGGTTCACTTGACATCCCCTCAAAAAACCTGACGCGCTCGATTAAATTTTTTTTTTTAATTTTCATCCCTTACGTATAACCACCCCCATCACGGAAATGATCAGATTTACATACGACAGTTTTTAAAAATGCGTAGGACATGGATGATATTAATATCTGACGCGCTCGAGTATGTCCATACAACAGTTTTTTTTTACATTTTTAAAAATCTATAGCCGCTTCCCCCACCGATGAAAAGGTATATATTATATGAATTTTTTTTTGTTATCATCTAAGCTTCGCAACCCAATAGGTCTCTATGACGCTCGAGTAAATCCCGATTTAGCATCGTGGGCTCCCCTACTATTATTTCTGTCACCATCAATAAATAATATAAAGTTACTATATTATATAATATATACCCACATTTATAATTCAAATAATGAATTTTTTTCAAAATCAATTTTTACGAGTAATATGTATGTATAATTCTATATATACCAAAGTTGATAAAAAACTTACTTGCTTTTATATCCAAAAGGGCAGGTGTTATATATTTATTGTCAAACTTTTGACATTATCTCTGCAAATTATTAATATTTATATTGGCAAAAATGCTCCGAAATGCAATTTTAAATATTATTTCGATGTGATACCTTCTATATAGACTACCTCAAGGATATAAGGCGTGCAATGGCTAACCGCGTATATGTCACTTATATACACTTGTCATATCACCACACCGAATGTTCCTCGCGTGGTACAAGGTGCAACTGATATATAACCACGCGGAATGTTCATCGCGGAATACAAGGTACGATTGTCATATGACGCGCGGAATGTTCATCGCGGAATACAAGGTACGATTGTCATATGACGCGCGGAATGTTCCTCGCGTGGTACAAGGTGCAACTGATATATAACCACGTGGAATGTTCATCGCGGAATACAAGGTACGATTGTCATATGACGCGCGGAATGTTCCTCGCGTGGTACAAGGTGCAACTGATATATAACCACGCGGAATGTTCATCGCGGAATACAAGGTACGATTGTCATATGACGCGCGGAATGTTCCTCGCGTGGTACAAGGTGCAACTGATATATAACCACGCGGAATGTTCATCGCGGAATACAAGGTACGATTGTCATATGACGCGCGGAATGTTCCTCGCGTGGTACAAGGTGCAACTGATATATAACCACGCGGAATGTTCATCGCGGAATACAAGGTACGATTGTCATATGACGCGCGGAATGTTCCTCGCGTGGTACAAGGTGCAACTGATATATAACCACGCGGAATGTTCATCGCGGAATACAAGGTACGATTGTCATATGACGCGCGGAATGTTCCTCGCGTGGTACAAGGTACAACTGATATATAACCACGCGGAATGTTCATCGCGGAATACAAGGTACGATTGTCATATGACGCGCGGAATGTTCCTCGCGTGGTACAAGGTGCAACTGATATATAACCACGCGGAATGTTCATCGCGGAATACAAGGTACGATTGTCATATGACGCGCGGAATGTTCCTCGCGTGGTACAAGGTACAACTGATATATAACCACGCGGAATGTTCATCGCGGAATACAAGGTACGATTGTCATATGACGCGCGGAATGTTCCTCGCGTGGTACAAGGTGCAACTGATATATAACCACGCAGAATGTTCATGGCGGAATACAAGGTACGATTGTCATATGACGCGCGGAATTGTCCTCGCGTGGTACAAGGTGCAACTGATATATAACCACGCAGAATGTTCATGGCGGAATACAAGGTACGATTGTCATATGACGCGCGGAATTGTCCTCGTGTGGTACAAGGTGCAACTGATATATATCCACGCGGTATATTCATCACGCAATACATAAAGCGACACGAAACAATTTACCGCGTGGTAACTAAACAGTATTCACCGTTTACATTGATAGAAGTATTAAATAGAGTACTGTCTGTACATACAGTATTCGGAAACATTACTCGACGAGAAGAAAGTAAAGAACTACCGACGCATGCAAATTAAACTATTTTTTTAAACCAATATTCGTATTTCGCGCGAACTACAGATCCATGAGTAGAGAGGCTACGGCAACCATGTCTCTAAAACTAAGGACAGCTGGAGACCTGATATCCCTTTTCTATCTATAATAACCCTGTTTATATCGCAGCGCTGCCATGCGGGATATCACGCGTTGACGATCGGGACAAGATACTATAATATTCATACTATATTTTTATATACAGTTCGGTAAATAGTAGTGGATCATATATCTCATACAATTTTGCATATTGTAGGCCACAAATACAATTACTACTGTATGTTACTGCATGTATGGAACTGTGCTGTTTAAGTGTTATCTTGTACCACGCGATCATTCTTCTATTCTCTATCCGCCGTGAGTTGTATTTGTAACATGTATTGAGCCAAATTCCAATTTCCAACGCGCTCTTAATGTGCGAACTTTTAAATAAATTTGGATTGTTTCGTTTCTCTAAATCGAAACTGAATAGTTTGTGAATGCGATTAAAGACTATCAGCCGGAAACTATATGAATAATCGGAATCGGTAACGAAGTCTAGTCAGAAAGCAGCACATCCTTAATATACTTCAATGTACTGACCAGAAGTAAACGTAAGTATTAAATATATACATACTATAAACGTGAAGCGTTATAACGGCATATTAGTCTGTGTCAAATACGACGGTATAACATGTGACAATAGGGATGACGACTGGGTAAAAAAAAATGCAATTCTATTAAACCGTCAGTCAGGTAATAGAAAAATATTAGATACGTATTTTTTTTTTTACTTCAATTTAACAAGAAATAGCTTAGATAACAGGCATTAAAGTTGAGGAGTGGGGGCTCGCTACGTCACAGTTTAGTAGAAAACGTACCATAACGTGACGTCATGCGAAATTTCAACTCCATGTAACGCCGTAATTTTATAATTAAGAAAAAAATAATAAAATACCTGTTTGATATTTTTTAACACTCTACCCGACGGACTAACAAACAAAATTAGTCGTCATGCCTATTTAATATTTCAATTCCGTTTCTTCCTTACTCCATCTTCATGATTGACCTAAATTCTAATTTCGGGAAACTTTTTGGTTGTACTCTCTGTATCTAAATTTTTATACATTACACCCCATATTGTGCAACGCCAATGATGTAGGGACTTCACAAATGCACCATGTGTAATGATTGCCGATTATATCTAACTATAATCGATACGATAATAGTATTGATTCCGATCTATCGATAAAATAAGTAATAACTTGATGTTTCAATTTAATAAAATTGTGTGGCAAATTCAACATCTTCTGCAGAGCGATTCTTTAAAAATCCGAACCGAAATTCGAATTCACTCTTGTGTCCGAATTTAGGTCATTTAGTATAGAAATACTATTTATTCCTTTTTTGTATGAAAATACAAGATTGATTGATTTGTACGTATTACAGATATTCTATTCCTACGTCATTTCGGAACTCACTTACCATCCACGAACCATTATAACCAATTCAAGGTTGAGCCGATGCCACTTTTCAAGTGAATTTGGACACCTGAATGAATTCGAATTCGGGTTAGGATTTTTACAGAATCGCAGGGCTGTAATCACAAAAAAAAATTTATTAAAATATTCGATTGTAATTACGATTATGCCAAATTTCAAGCCATTGTCCGCTTTTATGTTGCCACGTCTCTAGACTTGTTGGAAAAAGAATTTATTAAATATTATGAAAATCACATCAACAATGAAAAACAAAGTTGTCTAACATAAAACATTTTTTATTAGCAGTTCCAACAATGTCTTTTAAATTGTTTACTGTTTATAACTCTAACATAAATGTTCTATGAATGTGACAAATATACCATCATATTTGAAACAAACTGTACAACATTAGCCTTAGGCTGTCAATAAGAATATTCAAATACTCAAAAATATATTATTATACTCAATATCTTTTCCCATAAAAACCTTGAAAAATTAATAAATTTTCGATCCAAATAAGCGTAAGAACTTGTAATTTTAGATCAAAATACATATTCCACAGTATTTCAATTATTTAATCTGGTATCGGTTCTTTGAACACAAGATAAGATTAAATTAAAAATAAAAAAAAAAAACATTCAAACTACTGAAATTAGCCCAACAAATGTGTTGTTCAATTCAAAAATATTTAAAATAATAACATGACTGTGCTTAGAAACTTTGACAAATTTATTAAATAGCTATTCATAAGGTACTTGAATACTAAGCTATAGTCTTACATGTAGAAATATTAAACTACTCGAAACAATTAAGACTGAAATATTTACTAGTACAGATATCACATTTGCCAAAGCTTATAACCACTGCAGTGTAGATGAAAATAGGAGAATTCTTCAATTAGATAAGAAGGACATAATCTTGCTATCTATAAGTGTAATATTACATTCTTTTCATAAAGAGTTATTAATCACGATGTAAGTTAAACTTTTTGGAGTGAGACAGGTAGTTTTGTTGTAAAATTATTTAATATCAAATGTGAAAATCATAGTTATGTTAAAAAAATTCCTAATAAGCTTGTTTCTTTTGAAGAAACGTCAAGTATTGAAATATTAAATCGAATCAACTTTATTTTTGTTCGAAATTAATTCAAGAGCTACTCGGAATCTTAATACGAATATTAAAATTCCTAATTTGTCACCAACACGTTTAGAAGTACATGCATATATAATAAAAACTCACGTCTAATTACAGGTCATCCCTATTATGATCCAAATACCGAGAATACTTGAACCTATTATTAAATTTTCGAATGCCTATCTACTGGGTATTAAGGAAATAGTGTTTCAATTCTCTAGATATACACACGGCTGCACGTCAGACTATACACTGTCGAATTTGTACCACCCGCGCTTCGTATATAAGTTCTCTACTGACAGATGTCTGCTTACGGTGGTGGTGTGTAGCGTTACGTGCCGCTGTGCGTACTTTTATTCATTCGATTTTGTTTATTACTACACAAGAATACGATGCAATATGCAAAGTAAAATTTATTAAATAAATTTCCTTCATCACTTAAAGAGTGGCCAAAACCTCATATCAATACTATTTTGCTCTGTATATCTCCCACTTTCATCCAATACACTGTTTAAAAAAAAAAGCTGGCAATAGAACTGATCAGTTCAAGACCAATTTGTCCTTAAGCATGTCCTCGACTCACGAGCAGGTGGTAATATTGAGCTTCGCAAAGTAATCCAACAAACCTTGGAGACGTTTCTTGATCCTCTTCTGATCATCCAGTGTACAACCTAACAAAGAAATATATTTAATGTCCCGTGGTGACAATGAAGGTGGTATGCTCAGTCTTAAGTAACTGGCTGAAGCCAATCATCGGATAGGATCTCAAACTATTTTGTGTTTTGGCAGACATATTAAACTGTTAGTCTCAGCTGATACTACAATTCTCAATAAGTATATTCGCTTTAGGATTGAGCATAAGCATATCATTGTTAATTTAGGAAAACCTATTTCTCATCAGCGGGAACATCAATAAGCTGACGAAATACATAATACACATTCAAACAACATACATTATGGCATTCAAAATACAATCTTCAAAAAATCGAAAACAAACACTGAATAAATAGAAAGGCAGTTTACAAATTCAAGAAACTTTTTCTTAAAGCAGATGAGTGAGCTGACCGTCAAAGACTTTAGATTCATTTTTTGCTTCTTTAACGTTCATAACTGATTCACACACTTTCTGAGTTTTATGGCGGATTGCGAAAGGTGTGTCGTGGCTTTTAAAAAACAAAATAATGTATAGAAGTATCAGAACTTTGCCTCACCTAAGATAGCAGTCTCGAAATTTTTATCTGTGCCACTGGAAGGGTCCGGGTGGGAGGTGCAAGCATTCATGTAAGTTTGGCAGCGAGAGTGCGCTACCACAGTATCATCATGTAAGGACATCACAAGCTGATCGATGTACATGTTAACCTGTAAAAAGGATACAGCTAATAATTAAATAGAGCATGATGACACAATGGTTAATGCGTCCATTATGCTACTGGCATGAAAACTGATGATAAAAAAATGCTTGCCTGCAGTTGTTAGTAGCAATCAGCTCTGGGTGGATTCTTGTTCTAAGTTTATTGGCATTGAGGATGATTGGCTGATAATAATGATTAAGAAAATATGTTAACAAGTTTGTTATATAAATGTACCTGGTGCAAAGCTTCTTCCTGCTGGGCATCGCGATCAGTTCGTACGGCGACCTCAACAGTCATAGCTCGTGCTAGTATGCGATCTGCATACCGTATAATATCCTCCTTGTCACCTGCCATGTCAAATATTAACACATTTTAGGATTACAAAGTTATATTTACAAGCAAAAATAAGAACGTATCTCAACTAATGGACTTTAAGCAAAGTGATCACCTGAAACCTGAAACCAAGTACTAATGTTAAATAGGGGTGACAAAGTCAGTCAGTTTGGGTACTTGTTTGAGGTGACCTTTGAGGTTCTAGATTCAACATTTTTCAAGGATAATGTTAAAAACTAGCTTTCCTATATCTTTAATTTTGGATTAAATCATTGGATTAATAATTTTGATTGTATCAGATTTCCACAAGGCAAGAACTTTAGCTACTTTTTTAGGATCTGTAATGTATGGGATGTTGTCTTTACATTGAATAAACTGGAAACATTCTGTATTTAATAGCTTTCATTGTATTCGGCAATCAATATAAGTTTAGTGAATAATCTGGCTAATAGACTTCATTCTTTAGTTCAAAATTTTTATACTCCTTTTGGCAAAAGAACAGGACAAATTTGCACTAAGTCTCTGTTTCTTGAGCCCGAATACTTTTGTATAATATAAAGTTGTATGGCCACAAATGTCGCTATCCGCTCAGTATTCATAAATATGTATTCTATTTATTAGTTACTAATCTATAAAAACACATGAAACTCACACTCTACAATGTCAGCAAGAAGATCAGAATGCTTCACACTGTCTAACGTAGACAGCAAAGAGTCTTTTTCCTCCTCAATTCGTACCGTGTCTCTCCGCAACCTTTCCACTCTCATTTCAACTTGATCCAATACAGCTATTAATCTGTAATAGTTTAAGTGACAGAACAAACATAAAAAAGAAAAGTAAATGTTATTTGGTGACATAAATAAATATATTACTTAAAGCATTTAAAAAAAAAAAGGAGGTTTACAGTTAGAAAAAGGTCCTAACCAGATAAGCCTCTTTTGATTGTCCGTCATAATGGTTAACAACTATAGTTAAACTTGACCAAAAAAATATCTATAATAAAAACATAGCAGGATTAAACAATACCAACTTTAGCAATTATTAAATAAATGATGAAATGTATGTGGTAAAAATCCCTTTAATTTCCACTAGAGTGATTTATTTATTTTTAAAATATATTTTGTTTTAACTAAGACAAAATTAAGAATGTATACAAAACAAAAAAGAAATTCATAACATATTCTACTAGTGTTGAAAAGAAATTATAAAGATTGTATGGTTATTGAAGGAACACTATATACCTACTAATGTCTGACATAATAAAGACAAGAAATAAATACAAATTCAATGCTATTGTAGAATTAAAGACTTAAATGTAAGAAATATATATATATTTATTAGTAAAGCCTGGTAAAGGTTGAACTAATTGAATAAATATAAACATAGTCTTCACTGTGGTTCTAGAATTAAATAGAAAAGTCTGGACAACCTGATGGTAGGAAAATTAAGTACATTTTAAAATGTACATATTTGATTGGACAAACTATTAAAAAATTTCGGTCATTCTTTCTCGATAGTTGTGATCATAGATATGAGTGTGGGTGGAAGATTACTATTAACTTTTTATAACCAAGCCGTAACGGAGTTGGCCTTTTAAGGCTAACGTGCGTAACGAGCTCCACGTTGCGCAAAAGCATTATACAGCTAGTTAAAGTAATCAACAAGCTGTAAAACAAAATATTAAAATTTTGCCCACCTATCTTTCGGTGCTTGCGTTCCCAAAGCCGACGATTCATCAATCAAAGGCAGCCGCGAGCCTTCGCCGGTATATGTAAATTCAACGGCAAACTGATCAACTTCCATAGTTTTTCGAAAATCTTTATGAGGTACGGCCAGATCGTAGTTGTTACAGTTCTTGTAAAGATGCGTATTAATCAATTATTTTTCCAATTACCAACAATACAACAAACGACGGAGATCTGAGAGAAACGTCACTGTATGCAAAGAAATAATACTACTCTTTAACTGTTTGTCACTGTCAGTCAGTTCTCAGAGAGAGGGAGTGTCAATAAAGAGTAAACTGTATTCTTTATAGAGAGTCTAAACTAGGACCAAAACAACTGTCAAAAAAAGGTAAAAAAACAAGTCGTGTTGGATAAATAAAAGGGTATTTGACACTTTCCTGAAAAGTATTTCAAATTCATACGTTATAAACACACTGTCAATATATTTCATTAGAGATACTATATTTGTATATCTTTATTAACAGTATTGACATGACAGTTTCCTATTTACGTGCGACGACAACCAATTTCAGGGCGTTTTCGTTTTTCATTTTACATTCCTAAAAATGTTGCATTTCCTTTAGGTTTTTTTTTGTTATTTTCCTAACGCTAAACAATTTTTTGTCTGAAATAAACTGTGTTAGATTACACAGGTCTGCGCAAAAATATTTTTTTTTTGCTGTATGGGATTTTTTTACTAAATTATATATTTTAAAGATCACAAATTATAAAAATGGCTATCAGAATATCCCATCACGTATCGTTATCTTGCAAAATAAAAACAAAAATTTTTGGAAAAAAAAATTATTAAATAAGATAAAGTACTACCATATTTTCTTTTAACTAAAAAAGTATTTCTTATTTCTAAATGTTACATAAGCTACCCTTTTTTCTTGTGAAACCTTTTCTTCTTATCTTTGATGCTTCTGCGAAGTCGTTTTTTTATTTCCTTCACTGGTTTCTCGATTAGCATAGTCGGCTAGCATATTGACATCCCGTCTTCCTTGGTAACGTCTCTCGGTTTCACGGACATCCTGGTGAAACCTTTCATCCTGCTATTCACTATAGGCTCCCAAATTTTCATTTTTCTGTTCCCAAATAGTCTACATGACAGTGCAAGAAATGAACTTTTAAACTCATCTTGCATCCTTGAGCTTCATACGCGACCAGCATGCGTTGTACAATTTTTTTATAGTCTGGGTCTTTAGTATTCCCCAAAAACTTTTTCACTACATTTTTAACAGAGTCCCAAGCTTCTTTTTCCTTTTCCCCCATTGTTTCCACATAGAGGATCAGACAAAAATGTTTTTATATCTGGGCCAGTGAAAACTCCTTCTTTTAACTTGGCTTCAGACAGTTTAGGGAACATGGAACACAGGTATCTGAAACAATCGCCATCCGTTGGCAGTGATTTTACAAATTGCTTTATAAGTCCTAATTTTATGTGAAGAGGTGGTAATAAAACTTTTTCTGGCGGAACTATAATAATGTCGTATTGATGACATTTTTCATAATATAATAAAACCTCCCTGTTGACCCAACAACATGGTTTGCATTTTGAAGTCTCCGCCAACCATCCATTGATGTTCTTGATATTTGATTTTTTCAAGAATCGTAGCCAAGTCATTTTAGTTTTCTTTCATGTGAACCGAATGACCCAGAGGAAGACATGCAAATACATTTCCATTATGCAGTAAGACAGCTTTGAGGCTAGTTTTCGAAGAATCGATAAAAAGGCGCCATTGTGATGAATGATATTCTATTTTAAAACTCCAATGAGTTCATAGACATCGTCACAATAAACCAGATTGCTCTCTTTGGAGAAAAACTGCGTGAAATCCTTCTCTCGATGCCTGTACCACGAAAATGAGGTCCCAGGCGACAGCAATTTTTTGTTTTTCAGCTTTGATCCTAGCAGTTCGTCTGCATCTTTTGAAAGTCCTAACTAGGTCGTTCAGCTCACTCTGAAAAAACGGTTGAGGTCCCTCATCAACAGGAAAATATGGGCTTGATTCGTCCTGGGAAGCTGATGTGTCTGATTCTTCTAACTCATACATCATCTACATTAGAAGATAGCTGTGGAACTGGTATTTCAGGGCCATGGGGTACTGGACGAATAGCTGAATCAAGGTTAGAATAAAATTTTTTATTTTTTATTTTTTGTATTAAATCCTTTTACATCTACTGTACAGAAGTAGCAGTCGGTTGTATGACTTTTCTGATCACGCCATATAATAATAGGAATGCCAAAACGAAACGAATTTTTCTTGCCCTTAAACCACAAGCGAAGATCTTCCTCACATCTCCTACACACTTTATGTGGAACCACATGCTTTGTCTTGATCTCCAAGTTTACATTTGAAATTTTGCATATTTCATAAACTTTTTTCACGAAGTCACTTATGTTTCTTTGTTGTTTTTTCACTGTGTATTCACCACAAATGTAACAAAAGCTATCTGGAGAAATAATACAACTTCTGTGAGCCATGTTCCAGAAATAATAACACAAAAAAACAATATAAAAAGTAATTCTTATCTCTAAATGTTACTTATGCTACCCTTTTTTCTTGTGAAACCTTTTCTTCTTATCTTTGATGCTTCTGCGAAGTCGTTTTTTATTTCCTTCACTGGTTTCTCGATTGAGCATCCAACAGTAGTCGGCTAACATATTGACATCCCATCTTCTTTGGTAACGCCTCTCGATTTTACGGACTGTTATTATATACAAAAGATGACCACATACCCTGTTGTAACTGTTATTTTATTTATAAACATTAATAAGGAGGTAAATCTATACGGCCTTGCAATACGCCACTTTTTGAGCAACTGTATTAAAAAATTGGTGATACATTAAACAAGAAACTGGAAAAAAATCACACAATCCATTAATTTAAAGTCCTGTCCGTCTCCTTCATACGTTGAAGGGAACGTTCGTCCATCTACCGACGTTGATAATGATAATTCATCAGATCCAGTTCCATCAACTAGCAAACGCCATTGTATGTCAAATACCTATAGGTACATGAACAATCATACGAAATTAATAATAGTTTATCTCAAACAGTAAATATGCAACCTAAGACTTCCCCAGTTAGTATAAAAACTGTACCAATTTCAATGTATATGTGAATTATAACTTTTATAAAAAATTAACTTTACAATAATCAAACTCAAATTCAATTTACAATAATCAAACGTGTATTCAATAACAAAAATATATGTAAATTTAAGAAAGGACTTCAAAACATTGAATGGCATAATATTATAAAACCAGAGTTTTCTATAAACGAAAATTTTAATAATTTTAACAATTCTCTTCAAAAGGTCTTAAATCAATGGATACCTAAAAAGAAATATAAATTAAATACCAAATACTCAAAGCCTTATCTCACTCCGGGTCTTAGAATTTCGTGTCATATTAAAAGATTAATAAAACTACTTATAGCAAAAACTAACAATGAAATTTTAAATAAATACTATAAAAAGTATTGTAAAACACTAAAACAAACTTATCATATGTCTAGGAAGATATATATATAATGTGGCAAATAATAAAGGCTGAAACCAATCAAAGGCCCAGCAAGATTAAACAAAATATCATAATAAAAAATAAGCAGAACGTAATAAAGGATTCAAAAATCATTGCAAATAGTTTTAATGAATATTTTTGTTCTATAAGTAACGCTGAAATCAAATTAAGTTATAAAAATCCAGGCATAAGAAATACTGTGCCTAATTCACTTTATTTACATTTGGCAGAACCAAGAGAAATTCATAAAAAAGATTAATAAATTATTTTGAAAAGTTTAAAATTTTGAACGATAGTCAATACGGTTTCCGTAGAAATAGAAGTACAATTCTAGCAGTATACAAATATATGAACAGAATAATGCAATCAATAAATAATAAGGAATATGCAGTCGGTCTTTTGCTTGATATGAGCAAAGCGTACGATAGAGTAAATTATAAAATTCTACTCGATAAACTTTATAGACTCGGTGTGAGGGGACATGCGTTTGAATGGTTTCAATCTTACCTCCAGAACAGATCACAATGCGTAGAAATACAATATACTAACTTTGATACGGGTGATATCGAAAATTCGAGATCTGACATTGTGCCTATAGTCGGTTCTATTCCCCAAGGAAGTGTACTGGGATGCTTTTTGTTTCTGGTCTATATAAATGACTTGCCCCAAGCAATATCATTAGACTGTATTCTGTTTGCAGATGATGTATCTGTCATCATATCTTGTAAAAATACAGACTCTCTGAGGAGAGACTTAGACACAGTATTAGATTCTGTTACAGAATGGCTTCATCATAATAACTTACAATTAAATTTAAAAAAAACTAAATTAATTCAATTCAAACCCTACCAAAAACCATCCTTAGAGATTGATTATCAATATAAATAAAAAAAAAATAGAAACTGTGGATTCGGCCACTTTGCTAGGAATAGAGATAGATGGTAATATAAATTGGAAACCTCATATTCAAATGCTATCTAATAAGCTGTCATCATATGTATACGCTCTGAGGCAGTTGAAACGTGTCTCCAATCAAGAAACAGCCCTCTCCGCTTATTATTCTTTTGTCCATTCACGTCTTAACTATGGAATAATTCTTTGGGGAAATAGTCCACATACCCTGGAAATCTTTATCTTGCAAAAAAAATGCATAAGAATAATTACAAATATAAACCAAATGGAGTCTTGTAAACCTTATTTTAAAAGTCTGAAAATTCTTACTCTGCCAAACTTATATATTTTTGAAGCCTGTAAATTTGTCAAAAAGCATATGGATTTATATTCCCCGGTAAAATTATTAAGACGCAACAATAGATACCATAATAAACTAAAGGTCCCTTCAACAAAAATGAAATTGTACTCAGTAGCCCCCCATTCAATGTTAATAAAAATTTACAATAAAATACCCAATTACATTAAAGAACTCGAAAAAACGAAAGCTTTTGAAAATCACTTAAAAAACTTTCTTATAAACAAAGGCTATTATAGTGTCGCGGAATTCTTTGAGGATGGGTACGTTTCGTTAAATGAATAAAAGGAGATAAGAGTCAAGTTCAAGCCTTACCTAAGTAAAATATAATAAATTATACATATAATAATATACATTCTCAAATATATAAAGAAGTTATTTTAAATTAAACCATTTATTGTAGATGCCAATGTTAATTATTTTTTTTTATTTATTT